TCCAGCACTTAAATCCTAAATGAATCATATTTTTTCCTTTGCATTTTTCAAAAGAAAGAAATCTAGCAATTCTTAGTCACTCAACTTTTAAATTGAAAACTCTCTACACGACAAAATGGTAATAAATGTATGACCTCTCACCTTGTACATTAAAAGTAATTCCAAAGACAACTTCTTTCTGTTTAATTCTAAGTATGATATATGTTCATGTAATTTAGTGTGAATATATAATTTACTCCTTATTAAAGAACTGTTGAATGAGATACCCTAAAATCTTGAAAATAAGCCGCGGCTTATTTTAAGTTTTGGTAAGAAAGTGGGGGCTTATTTTCAAGACCGGCCTATTTTCAAATTGCGGCTTATTATCAATGCAAAAAACTGGCAAGAGAAGGGAGCACTCTTGTATTCATTGGCGTTTCCCGGTGTACATTCTTTAGGATCGTCTACTTTATATTTTGAGAATGCCGATCCCGAAAAGTTAATTTCAGCATAATACAGCATATGAATTTACATGAAACTTGTTTAAAAAAAAAAGTAAAAATAATATATAAGATATCCGCTTGCAATTGAATTACTTGATGAATTAATCAAACAAACACATATTTAAACAACTCAATTAACGTTATACGGTACATTGAAATGTAATTACTACCAAGCCCTGCCGATCAGCAGGTTTCTTGCCTCGGGCAGTTTTACCTGGCAATGAAATGCTTTACAAACAAAAACTTCCTTTTTTCCATTTACTTATTTAATTACTACCACCTTATAACACATCGTTAGCTTGTACAGGTCTCGATGAGATAATTATTGTTCTGACAATATCATGAAAAAAATTCACCATTTTAGCTGGTTCCGCAATTAATTTTTTTTTAGCCAGTGTGACATGATTACTGGTAAAAAAAATTAACTTTATAAACAACCCTTTATTTAGTAATTTTACATACGTTCATTAGTAGCTACAGACTTAGTTCGTTCTATGACATCGTTACTCGTACTCGTTCGTACTATGTCGTATGCAGAAATTGGTAAAGGTTAAATGAATTAAAGAAAGATAACTTTTTATTTTGCACAGTAAATAAATATCGTCAAAGTTTTCACTCGTCAAATTTTTAAGACGAGAAGATCGTCAAACGTTTAACATCTTTCTTAAATGGCATTGTCATGACCGGCTTATTTTCAAAACTGGCTTATTTTAGAGTAATTTTTAAAGCAAGAAATAGGTGGCTTATTTTCAAAACCGGCTTATTATTAAATCCGTCTTATTTTCAAGATTTTAGGGTACCTTAAGTAGAATTTTTAGCGAGGATTTAATTTTGGCATTATTAGCGAGGGTGCTGACATCACTGAAATTGAATATCGCTAAAAATTAATTGCGTATTATTTGTAATAGCTTCTTTAGTTAGCATTTTAAAAATCGCTAAAATGACTTCTCGCTAAAAATCAACACCAGTTTTTAGGTAGAAATCGCTAAATTTGCATCTCACTAAAATTTCCACTTACACTGTACTTAGAGTAATTTATCAGAAAAATAATTCAATCCTAAAATCCACTTTAGAATTTCATATCATTTTATTACAAATTCAATGTATACACAAAGTTTTTGTTATAAAAACTTACTCATATGCTTGTTTCACACAACTTCAATAACAACCTTCCATCCAACACCTACATCCTCACACAAGTTTGTACAACTTGTATGGGTTTTAATTGAATTCTTTTAAGATATCTACTTATGAGAAGAAAGAATTCTACCTTAAAAATTTCCATGGCTTTCAAACAAAGTGCAACAGTTTCCACCAACCTACATAATTTCAATGATTCCCATGGTATTATAAAAGTCTTTCTAATACACATATATTACTTTGAACACCCTATATATAAGTTTTTGTTATGACAATAGTATTTTGGGAAGACATTAGAGATCAGAACTGCTTTATCTTCGAGCCTCTGGCTTTCTAGCACTAGGAACACGACTGCGGCTTTTCACCCTGCGATCTGCCTCCGTTTGATGAGAACGTTGGGATGTCTCAGGTGAGCTAATCACTTTAGGCCTTTGTCCAGATATACTCCTAAGAACCTGCAGTATGGCCTGTGGAGCAACATTCATCTTCAACAAATCCATGATGATCCTAGAGAAATAAAAACAAAGAATATATATGTGCATTGAGTAGGATGGGAGAAAAAGAGGCCCATGGGCCACATTGCTCATCTGAGCACTTTGGTTGGAGATAAGCAAAAATTGGTTCAGCACTGAAAAGTTTATTATATTTTTAAACTTTTCAGTACTGAACCAGTCTTGCTAATCTCCATAACACAGGAGTCAACAATTACTGGTAACAACTGAATTCTGAAGTTATACTATGTTGCAGTAATATAATAATTTTTTTTCCCAAATGATAGCATTTATAAGACTTCCTCTTATGATCCAAACCAAATATGTTATATCCTCTCCTGGGGCTTGGCAAAATAGGGAGGAATTTTATTATTGGTCATTAATACAGGCGTGAAAAAAAAGAACAGCGATATGAGACTTACTTGAAGACGCTGGGATCAAACACAATCCCAGCCAGCTGTGACAGTTCATATAGTTCTTGTTCGTCCAATGACAGGACATTTTTACTGAGGAGTGTGTACTGTAGAAACTGGTCGCTGGTGACTGTTGTCATGGTCAATCATCAAAGGAATTTATCAATACATTCTTCAGTCCATAATTTTTGCAACAACCTGTGAATAGTAAAAATCTGATCTGAAATCATAACATAAGACCCATGGGCCACATCACTAACCTGAACACTGTGGCTAGGAAAAAGTAGAAATTGGTTTATTATTAAAGAGTTTAAATCAAAAGGTAGTCCCATGACCAATCATGGCTTTGCTATTCTTGAGAAGATTTCTACAGAATTTTCCTATATATTTCTATGTAAAACTTGGGTCAGCCATTGTGGCCCCGCCCTACCCCGGGGGGTCATGATTTGAACAAACTTGAATCTACACTACCTGAGGATGCTTCCATATGAATATGATCAATTATGGCTTTGTCATTCTTGAGAAGATTTTTAAAGAATTTTCCTATATATTTCTCTGTAAAACTTTGGTCGGCCATTGTGGCCACGCCCTACCCCCGGGGGTCATGATTTGAACAAACTTGAATCTACACTACCTGAGGATGCTTCCATATATGGCTTTGTCACTCTTGAGAAGAAGATTTTTAAAGAATTTTCCTATATATTTCTCTGTAAAACTTTGGTCGGCCATTGTGGCCCCACCCTACCCCCGGGGGTCATGATTTGAATGAACTTGAATCTACACTACCTGAGGATGATTCCAAATAAATATGATCAATTATGGCTTTGTCATTCTTGAGAAAAAGATTTTCATAGAATTTTCCTATATATTTCTATGTAAAACTTTGGTTGGCCAATGTGGCCCCGCCCTACCCCCGGGGGTCATGATTTGAACAAACTTGAATCTACACTACCTGAGGATGCTTCCATATAAATATGATCAATTATGACTTTGTCATTCTTGAGAAGAAGATTTTTAAAGAATTTTCCTATATACTTCTCTGTAAAACTTTGGTCGGCCATTGTGGCCCCGCCCTACCCCGGGGGTCATGATTTGAACAAACTTGAATCTACACTACCTGAGGATGCTTCTATGTAAATATGATCAATTATGGCTTTGTCATTCTTGAGAAAAAGATTTTTAAAGAATTTTCCTTTATATTTCTATGTAAAACTTTGGTCGGCCATTGTGGCCCCGCCCTACCCTGAGGGTCATGATTTGAACAAATTTGAATCTATACTACCTGAGGATGCTTCCACATAAGTTTCATCTTTCCTGGCCCAGTGGTTCTGGAGAAGAAGATTTTTAAAAGATACCATTAATTTTTCATTAATTCCTAATTATCTCCCTTGGAAGAGGGCTTGGCCCTTCGTTTGAACAAATTTGAATCCCCTATACCCAAGGATGCTTTGTGGCAAGTTTCGTTAAAATTGGTCCAGTGGTTCTAGAGAAGAAGTTGAAAATGTGAAAAGTTTACAGACAGACGGATGGACAGACGGACTACAGACAAAATGTGATCAGAAAAGCTCACTTGAGCTTTCAGCTCAGGTGAGCTAATAATGTCTTTCATCTACTCTTGAAAATTTTCAAAGTCATCCCTGGGAGGAACAGAAAATACAATTCAACAACCTGATGGTGCTTAGGTAAGCTTTCTAAACAAATAATAATGACGTATAAATTCAAACTGAAGGTTGATAGCACATTTTAAAGCCTAGGATATATCTTTGCTTAGTTTCTATATATAAAAGTAGTTAATCTACCTAAACTTAACAAAAGAAATAGTTGTCAATGAACAGGTCGGGCACAATTTCTTGATTTAATTTAGTAATCTTATAATGAATGTATGTAAAATCTGTTTCCTTATGTGACATTGCACTCAAAGTTCTGTAATAGGTAAGGAGAAAACATATGGTGGTATCAGAATCAAACCGATGAGCCCTGCATCATTTGTCAGGTGCTCCACATTCTGCTAAACATGCTAATATCAATAGTCCTAACCATTACTTTACATGTAACAGTTCTTCAAGTTTTCCGGGATTTGTGCCATCAAAAGATGCAATATAATTTAGGTTGCTTGTTTGACAGTTTATGATAGAATCATATGCCTGCAATCTTTTGTCTATTTCTTGCAACAACTTTTCCTTTCAAGCTAAAACAAGAGATTGTGTCGAACCTGTTTTAACAGAATAGATATTACTGTCTTGTTTCATAATTGTCACATGCAATGCTGCAGAAGGTCAAAGAGTATTGTTTTTCCCTTCGAGAAAATAGAGATATTAAGGGGGATGTACGGCCACCTTTAGTGCTGTGAGAACAAAATGTAAACATTTCTTCAAGTGGCTAAAATACATCATATTTTGATCAAATTTTAAGTCCTTATGATAAAGATACAATAAATATTCATAACTGAATGCATGTTGTGCATATATAACCTATACTTTTGCAGAAAAATGCTTTTGATATGCTCCTTAGAACTGCGCAGCTACAGAATTCAGCAGAGCCTTAAAAAATCCAAAAAAATATGCAAACTGTGCATCAATGTTCTCTCTACAACCATTTGTTGAGAAAATGTCTAAATTTTGCACTTTTAAATGATAATTTCAAGTTCAAAACAAGGTATCGTTGTCTTCAAAATGAGTGTAAAGAATCATGAAAGTAGTTCATGGATAACAGCACGTGGTCTATTTTTAGCACAGAATTTTGTTTTCCAGACCTCTTCTTAATATGGAGGGACATAACAATCTTTAAATGTGGAAGAGAATTACAGTTGCAAAATATTTCAAATAGTATGAACACTTTTAAAGGAGGAAATGTGTTATAGTATGGCTTGAAGTAATTTATTTAGTATTATTATCGAACAGTTGTTAAATAATGTACTTATTGATAATATCAAAGAAAAAAATCTTAAACTCTTTGATTCCAGGTAAGGAAAAATGAGCACCATCAAAGTTAAGAATTAAGAGTTAGTAAGTTTGCCACAGATAACTTATAATATATATCAAAATTTTAATTATCATCAATGAAACACAAAGAAATTAAACACATAAAATCGATATGAATGACCTTGATTTAGTACCTACTAGTACGAGGGGTGATCAAAAAGTTCGCGAACTATCTCTATATCTACAAAACCACAATTCAGATTAGAAACAAATTTGGTGCACACATAGCCAAACACAAGTTCTATAAAATAGTATATATGCTGAATAAAGTTTTGCTCATAATGACGTCATTATGCAGGTACTTGTGACGATAAATGGTTGCCTCAGTGGTACTCGTTTAACAAACGACTAAAATATTTATGGTATATCTTAAAAATGCCTTTGAAGTAGCATATAAGAATTTTTCCATAGTTTATTAAGACAAATGACTTCCTACAAATTCAATCAATGATTGGATAGATCGTTTTAGTGAAGGAAGGCAGATGGTTAAATATGATACTTGTTATATTGCCCAGTGATATATTAGCAAGTTTGAAAAGGGATGTGTTTTTAATTAAGCAATATGCTATCAAAGACCTCCAATTTACACTTTGAAAAATACTTGAATATTTCAACAATAATATAACTATCAAATACCTAAGATATATCGTTTACTTTTTGATCTACCCTCGTATACTCTGTCTAATAAACATTTACAATTTTGATTTTAGCGAAGCAACATTTGAAAAGGAATGAAATCATTCAGAGTGGGTTAGGAGATTTAATGAATACAAAAACTTTTTCTATTTGCCCTTTTTGTCAAAATTACAATTTTACAGAGTAAAGAAAAAAATCAACATTAATTAATATTTTATACCATCTTTAAAATGACGTTTGGTGGTCCTCCTAACTCAGGGAAAAATTATTGGGTCCGTATTTATAGGTGAGAAAAAAATTCCTAAAAGAACGAGTGCACTTATGGGCCCCGGTAAAATGTGAGAAAATAAACAATCAAAATAAGCAAAATTTTTCATCTCAAATCATTAATTGATATCTAAACCGTACGATCCAACAAATTTTACCGTTGAAATCCACGAATATACAAAGAACAAAACTATACAATGTGGTAGGGGTCAGCCGACATTTGCCATTTTCTATAGTAAATCTAGAAGGGTCATTCATTTCTAAGCTTTTGTTAACTATGAGCCTAACGTTGTGCAAACTTGTGCGAATGACAAAGGACACATAATACATTTATAAAACTTGTGTGAAAGTATGAAATTTGCACACGATTAGGCTCGCACTTAAAATATTAAAAATGTATAAAAGGTACAATGTTTTTCCTATAGCAAGTGAGAGCTATTTACCTGTATGACCCATGTTGAACCCACGTGTGGAATAAATTATTTAAAATACTGATAGTCACGTGAGTTCTACCCAGGTTAACATTCCTCAAAAGTGCTCACTGTAAAACATAGGCAGGTTTTGTTTCAGTAAGTCAAAGTTGTGCCTCTTAGAGATGCATGTTTGTATGTATTGCTTTTTAGAACACGGGAGGGTAAAGAGAGCTTAGTGTCATTCATAAAGTGTCAAACATTTTTAACCTTCATGCAATACAAAGAAACAGGTATTGAAAGCCACTTATAACACTCATTTTTAATTTCATATTCAATGAAACTATTATTGTAATTTTTCAAATGCAAGAGTACCAAATTCTTAGTTTAATCATTTTAGCTACAGGCAACTACACAACTTCATTCAATATTTAAAAAAAACAGCTTTGGCGCAAGAAATATCATTCCGCAAACGCGCCCGACTATGATCCACCATCAGATTGTTCAAGTATCAATTTAAATATCTATTCCCCTTGATTTACATAAGCGAAACTAAAAGAAGGTTCGGTACGACTTTTCCGGATTTATAGGGTATCCATAGGCATTTAAAAATATTCAGTTGTTTCAAATCCATGCTGATGTAAGTGGTGCTTAACATGCTTTTTAATTAGAAATATCCACTAGTATATAACTATTACCAATAGAGAACGATTTTGTAATATGTTTCGAAGTAAAATGGCACATAAAAAGGGCCCATTAAGTATTGCTTAAGTGCACTTGTCCTTTAAACATATTCGTTGACGGAAGAAAAAAAAAAACACGTAATGGGATGTAAAAAAAAAAATGAGTCGGGCCATTTCTAGGCAGTAGATCGGGAGAGAGGGCAACCAAATATTTTTATAACAAATTGTCTTATAAGGCTAGTACATGTTCCATCACATACTTAGTAATGCAAAATTTTTGAATCTTTGGCACTATTTTGAAAAACAAACATATGATTTTTTTGGGGGGGGGGGGGGGGGGTAGCCTCTCATTTTTTTGCGTGATAGACATAGCATATGCAATGGACTTTTCTTTGCAAACATTGTGCTTGCTTCTAAATTTCAAAGAAACAACTCAATATATTTTATCAAGTTTCGTATGTTCAATGAGCGAGAGCTTACAATGTTGTCAACATAATGAGACATGATGCGTTTTTATGTCCAAACATTACTCCATACTATGTGTGGTTCATTGCAAACAATCTAGCTATTTTTGTGAGGTGCCTGAAGGAAATCCTATAACTGCCTATTTTTTCTATCTAACTGCTAAACAAAATAGACACATGTACCAACTTTTCGAATGTAAGACATGTAATTACAATTTGTTTTTCATGCACCGCATATTGTTTAACATTTTCAAATTAAATGCTAAGCATCCTCCTTGCAGTGCCCCATTTGAAAATAACTTCTATCGCCACAGAAAAAATACCCACCGTAATCACATATGTTTAGGCCATGTTTTATCTTTTTTCTTGAGTTTTAAAGAAACCAACAAATCATCAAGACTTGTCCCATGAAAAATTAAATATAATCATGGTAATAAACGCATCTATCCACAGCAGATATATGCACATGCCAACCACGTGCTCAGTGGAATGATATTATCGAGGAAACTCGAGCTGTAAACAGAACAGTTTTTCCCGATTTGCTGGAGTGGGGTTAAAATCGCTTTTTTTCATTAATCAGACGATGCAATGCAACAAATAAAAGTAGTAAGTAATAACCTAATGATTATTACTTAGTAATTTCTTGTCTTGATGTTATTATGGTCGCATTTATTTTAAAACCAATGCTATTCGAACTCTGTGTGACAGAGGAATGGCGGACGAAATGAACACATGGCCTCAGGAAGACACCCATATGAAAAATCAAATTTTCAAGAATTATGGATAATGACAAGAAAAAAAGCGAAACTAATGGTAGTAGCCATATTATCAATGAATCAAACTAACACTATATTCAATGCATTTTTCATCTCGTGAATGCTGTAGCTGCGCAGTTCTAACATGATTAATTTCCTCCTAATTAAAACAAAATAAACTTAATTATTAACTGATTTTGGTCTCTAACAGTAGGTAATTAGTGCATTAGCACTTTGAGTAACTTTGGGCTAGTTTAGTAGAGTATTAAGCGCATTCTTGGTATTTTTTATTTTACACCAGACTAGATTCAATATGGCTTGTACATCCCCCTTAATTAAGCACTTTTCTGTTTTGTTTAGTGCAGGACATTCATCATTTGGGGTTATTAGTGCACCCCTTACATATCATAACATTAAAATTGTTATTGACATGAAATAAAATTTATCTAAGGGATTCTAAAGATAATTATAAAAATAATATCTCGTGTCTTACTGCTTCTATTAGGTGTAAAGGTCAATTCGATCACGGAATGACAAATTCTCTGCTGATTTTCTAGAAACCCACTTGCCTCAAGTTTACCTCGCGGAGGAATCGTTTCTAATATAGTTCGGAAAAAAAGCGATGCTTAACACAAGCATAAAACAAATGTAACAGGAATTATATCTTTTACATTTATTTCTGACAATATCAGACCGGTTTTTCTCAAATTATGTGTAAAATAAACGGTCTTTTTAAAAACGGAAGTCGGATTTAGCATCATTACAGAAGTGTGTGACGTGGACGAACAGCCATCTTATGAGAAACATTAAGGAAAACATACGATTTTTCCAGTAATTAAAGAAGTATCGTTGTTGGCATCTCAAGGATGTCTGATAGTCGGTCTGTACACCAGTCCAACTATCGTGGCTGGTTGTACAAGTGGACGAACTATTTGAGAGGTTACCAGAAGCGTTGGTTTGTTCTGCAAAATGGACTTCTTTCCTACTACAGGTCAGGATGCAGATCAGTTTGACTCTATGAAATAAAAAGTGCGATCCATTCAAAAGCAGCTAATAAAGCAGTACAATATGTTCGACAATTCATATCTTAAGTCTTGTATATTTGTTTCAAATCTTTTCGCACAGATACTCGATTTTTAAGGAATCTGCCCCACCCCCATACTACATGTGCTTCTGATAATATTACTCGATGCATATCTTTCACTGTCAATTTATATAAACATAGTCTACATCTATAATTTTAAGCTATCTTGAAGTGCTGAAAAAAGCTTGTAACGATGTTCCTCCTAATACTTGTACATGTTGTAGCATGTTGTTTGTCCACCTTGTTTTGAATCATTCCATTTGATTTAGTTTTGCATACATTGTCTTGCTAAGTATGCCTAATTTAATGGTTTTGACAGAATCAAATTAAGCATGTCAGGATTCACAATTGTGTGAAAGTCAGTCAATTTATTGGGACTCAGTACCTCAGTGGTTAGAGCACTGGCAGTGGATGCCAGAGGTCCTGGGTTTGAGTCCATTTTTCATCACCTGTGACAAGTGGAAAATCTTTTGTCTTAATATTTTTCACACAGGAGCCTATATTAATCTACTGTATTTTTTAAACACATACCAAAAGTTGTTTATTTTAAAATACTTATGCTTGAATTTTATTTCAGAAATCAGGCAGAAATGGCTCATACCTGCAGAGGTACAATTAATCTTGCAAATGCCTACATTCACACAGAAGATTCCAATACAATAGTCATCTCTAACAGTGGTACCCACACATTTTACCTGAAGGCGACATCAGAGGTGGAACGTCAGAAATGGGTGACAGCCTTAGAACTTGCCAAAGCCGATGCTATCAAGCTTAATGAACCTGGTAATTTAACTTATTTATTCTAAGCATATGAATTGTTCTGAAAAAAATCATCATTTTGACCTCTTGGATTATCAAGGTTGTCTCTAAGACCCGAGGGCTTGGGAATTTTTCAGCCTATAGTGACATAATTTTCCAGTTATTCTTATATAATTTTCCCTAATCACAATGCAAGGGGAAGGGCCCTAGACAGACATCTACTTTTTTAATGTACCCTGCTATTTCAAAATTCTTACGGAAAACTCTAGTCTGTGGATTATGTTAAAGTACTTGCATTTTTTTTTAATTGAGACATTCTATTGCAGATTAATAGCTCTGCTGCTGTTTGACAACTGACAAGTTGATCTGTGTTTATCCCTGATTGTTTATTTCAGCTGACAGTGATGAAGAGGTAGAACCTGAGCCTGATAAGAATGAGTTACAGAATATGGTAAAAACATTGACGTCCAAACTAGAGGACATGAATACGTGCAATGATTTGATTGCCAAGCATGGCAGTGGTCTACAAAGAGCACTAACAGAGCTGGAGTCAATGGATAACCCTAGTGAAGCTGGAGGAAAACTGAAGGTCATCAATGAAAGAGCCACCATGTTCAGGATCACCACCAATGCTATGATCAATGTGAGTTTACTTCCTTTTATTTTACAAGTATCATAGTATGAGGAAGAACCTTGAATTACATGTATCGTGATACATGTACATGTATGTTCATCTGCAAATCCTGAGGAATAAAATTATTCTATCAGTTATTTTATACTGTTCATCCTTAAAAATGCCCCCTAAGAAAAATTTGGCTGTCACATCAAAGAAGTACTCTTCCTTAATCTATTTTTAGCATGATATGTTGATACAATCAAGATTTTAGAAGATGGTGTCTGGAGTACCAGAGCACCACTTATAACATGTATAAAACAGTCACTTCCAGGTCTTGTCAAACTGTAAAATTTATCATATTATGATTCATAGAGCAATACTATATGTGTAATTTCAAAATGTATCCCATCATGTTCCCAATTTTATCATTGTACATTCCTAAATGTAATTTATCACACTCCAAAATGTATCAATTAGCACTCAAATAGGATTTGTATAACACTTAGAAATGTATCATATCACAATCCAAATGAAAATGTATCATATCATACTCCAAAATGTATCATATAGCTCTCCAACATTGGTAATCCAGAACTTAAATACTGTAGAAGCACAAATTTTCGTTGGGATAAAATTTCGTTGAATTGTCATCAAAAATAGTTTCGTTGGCATTTAATTTCATTGTTTTGAAAGTAAGCCTATTCAATATATAGTCATAAAAAAATTTCGTGTGGGATTTCATTTCTTTGGTAATTGTAAACAACGAAATAAACGAAATTTAATTCCCCACGAATATTTGTGCTTTACAGTATATCACATTTTTAACCCAAAAAGTTTATATTGCACTCAAAATGTGTCATTTGCCAGGCTCCAATTCAAAGTAGAAATAATATCTCAAAGTTTAATTAATTTTCTCTACTTTTTAAACTGCAGTGAACTTGATTATGCATTTCATAATCATATTTCTTTTTGCATTAATCATATTATGAACAGTATTTTGTTCTGTTCTATTCTATCACATTCTTTCATTTGCCTATCTCATTTCATCTTGTTCTAAACAGACATTTAAATTATACACTTTACCTTGTTTACAAAACTAGGTATTATTGCACATGTTGCATTAGATGTAGGTAAAGAATACACTCATTCTACTCCATCTTCACATTGTCTTGTTATATCAATACTTATATGCTTATGAAAAAATGTAAATAATACATACAGTGTATTAGATTTCCAACTCTCTACACTGCCGGTTATAGACAAGATTTAATTGACACTGAGTACTTCAAACCAAAAGAAGTACTTTTATTCTGTATTTACGACAGCATTGTAAGTTTCTGTTTGAATACATTTGTATAGTACAAATCAAAAACCTGTTTATAACTTGTATTTTGTATTTCTATGCTTATTTGATTTGACTCCACCCACCAACCAATTAGATTTGAAAAAGTTGACCACTAGGTAATAACATTGCCCAAAGCTGGTGGGAATGTTCACTTCAATAAAAAGCAAATAGGATGAGGTTTTTCAAATGAGTCAACTATTTCTTGTTTTTTATATAAATACTTGAGTTTTGGCAAAACAAAATTGTATTCAGTATTTTGCTGAACATTTTGTCAACATTTTAGTTTTAAAATAAAATATATTAACAGTTGATTATGAAGTTAGAGTAAGATTTGATTTCAGAATGTTTACAGATATTATGATGATTAGAGTCATGCAGTGTCACATAGTGTATTTGAGAAAATTTTCATAAATATGATAAACTCAAAATTGATAATTATTAATATGGAGAGCCTAAACATTCATTTTACATTAACTAGATTTAATTTTTCTCTTTTTTGTACTGTCTGGAAGTCATTTATAAATTCAAACTTCAGTATAAATAATAGAAGTAAGGTAATGTCGTTGACTCTCTTATCAGGGAAAACTTTATCACGTTATCATGGCAGAGTATGACCTTGTTCATTTAGATAGAGGATATAAAAAGTACGTCGTAAAAGCTGGATTTTACTGACTGGAGACTTAAATAATTACACCCAAAAGTATTATTAGCCTAATTTCTATGGATTGTTCAGGTTAATTTCAAGAAAATAATGAATGATCTAGAAATGTCTGCCTGGAGGAGTTGTGTAGTGTAGGAATAGAAGTCACTTACTGTAGCTAAGGAGGCTCGTGTAATACAGGTAATCTGTGTTATATCTAGGCCTGCGGGGAGTATCTGGACGTGGCCCAGAATCAGGTGAAGAGGCTACAGAAGATCGTTAATTATGAACACGAACAAAGGATGAAGTTAGAGGAGATGGTGGAACATCTGGCCAAAGAACAGGTCACCTTAGAAGCTAAAGCCAAACAATCCATGGGACAGGCCCCGATCAAGAAAGGTAAAGGCCAGTAAACGCTGAACAAGTCCTTAACAGAGGTATACACTTAGGTAAAGTAAAGAAACATCATTGTGTACAGGCTATAAGATACTGAATAATTAATAACATGTTGTAACTGACCAATCTTTATGTAGAGTACTGTATGTACAGTTTATTGGATTTCAACATTATATTGTGGTAGATCTTAATGGGAGAGTAAAGAGTAAAAAATAGAATTAGCTGTACATTGAGCATGTTGAGGGTTTGGTAATTTGCAGAATTCTTATACAATCATATACATTTATTCTCATTTCTCAGTAGTAGTAATAATTTTTATATTCATTTTAACAACTTTATCTATCAATTTCAACTTTTGGTTGATACTTATGCTGATCAGCATAAAGTATTTCTAAATGTTGTACAGTGTTAGTATGATAGCGTTTATTTTTTGAATCATTTTTTGTAGGACCTGGGGGGTCAGATGATGAGGATTTCTTTGATGCTTTGGATTACCAGGCTGAGGAATTTGAAGTGGCTCTTCCACACACACAGACAAAACACAGGTCTTCTGTAGTTTAAATTGAAACATATTAATGTATACCAATACACAAATAAGTGTTGTAGTACTAAAGCACAAATCTATATGCATAATATTAAGTGCATTAATTAAAATTCTGGCATATGCATGACCTTAGCAATCAGTTTGATGATCATTGATAGATATATAATTAAATATATACAAGCATATCCTTATAAGTTGCCATTGACTCTTTTTATGCCCCCCTTTCGAAGAAGGGAGGGCATATTGCTTTGCTGCTGTCTGTTGGTCTGTCGGTCTGTTGGTCCATTTAGTTTCCATTCATTTTCTTCACAACCGTTGCACATACTGAAATGAAATTTGGTATACAGGTATATCAGATGAATATCTAGGTCAAGTTCTGTTTTGGGTGCAATAGCACCATTTTTGACAGAGTTATGCCCCTTGGACTTAGAAAAATTCCAAGTATTTGCAGTTTCTGTTCATTTTCTTTGGAGAGGTTGCACACATTGAAATGGAATTTATTATACAGATTAGTCAGATAAATATCTAGGTCAAGTTCTGTTTTGGGTGCAATAGCACCATTTTTGACAGAGTTATGCCCCTTGGACTTAGAAAAATTCCAACTATTTGCAGTTTCTGTTCATTTTCTTTGGAGAGGTTGCACACATTGAAATGGAATTTAGTATACAGATTAGTCAGATGAATAACTAGGTCAAGTTCTGTTTTGGGTACAATAGCACCATTTTTGACAGAGTTATGCCCCTTGGACTTAGAAAAATTCCAAGTATTTGCAGTTTCTGTTCATTTTCTTTGGAGAGGTTGCAAACATTGAAATGGAATTTAGTATACAGATTAGTCGGATGAATATCTAGGTCAAGTTCTGTTTTAGGTATGATCACACCATTTTTGACAGAGTTATGGCCCTTTTGGACTTAGAAAAATTCCAGTTTGTGGGGGAAGGGGGCATAAGTGTTTTACAAACATCTCTTATTGAATGTGTACTAGAGATAGAGTCCATTTAATTTGAACAGTGTTGTGTCTCACAGTTAACAGCAAAATTTTGATTCTGTATTTTAATGTAATTGTTAGCTCACCTGAGCCGAAGGCTCAAGTGAGCTTTTCTGATCACATTTTGTCCGGGGTCCGTCTGTCCGTCCGTCTGTCCGTCTGTCTGTAAACTTTTCACATTTTCGACTTCTTCTGAAGAACCGCTGGGCCAATTTCAACCAAACTTGCCACAAAGTATCCTTGGGTGAAGGGGATTCAAGTTTGTTCAAATGAAGGGCCACGCCCTTATTCAAGGGGAGATAATTGGGAATTAATGAAAATTTAGTGGTATATTTTAAAAATCTTCTCAAGAACCACTGTGCCAGGAAAGATGAAACTTATGGGGAAACATCCTCAGGTAGTGCAGATTCAAGTTTGTTCAAATCATGACCCCCGGGGGTAGGGCGGGGCCAAAATGGCCGACCAAAGTTTTACATAGAAATATATAGGAAAATTCTTTAAAAATCTTCTTCTCAAGAATGACAAAGCCATAATTCATCATATTTATATGGGAGCATGCTCATGTAGTGTAGATTCAAGTTTGTTCAAATCATGACCCCCCGGGTAAGGGCGGGGCCAAAATGATTTAAAAATCTTCTTCTCAAGAATGACAAAGCCATAATTCATCATATTTATATGGAAACATGCTCAGGTAGTGTAGATTTTTGTTCAAATATTAGGGCGGGGCCAAAATGTCATACATAGAAATATATAGGAAAATTCTTTAAAAATCTTCTCAAGAATGACAAAGCCATAATTCATCATATTTATATGGAAACATGCTCAGGTAGTGTAGATTCAAGTTTGTTCAAATCATGACCCCCGGGGGTAGGGCGGGGCCAAAATGGCTGACCAATGTTTTACATAGAAATATATAGGAAAATTCTTTAAAAATCTTCTTCTCAAGAATGACAAAGCCATAATTCATCATATTTATATGGAAGCATCCTCAGGTAGTGTAGATTCAAGTTTGTTCAAATCATGACCCCCGGGGGTAGGGCGGGGCCAAAATGGCCGACCAAAGTTTTACATAGAAATATATAGGAAAATTCTTTTAAAATCTTCTTCTCAATCATTTTCTAAAAAATAGCAAATCCATGATTGGTCATGGGACTACTTTTGGATTTAAACTTTACAATAAAAAGCCATTTTATACTAGTCCTACCCTTGGTGCTCAGGTGAGCGATGTGGCCCATGGGCCTCTTTTTGTATTTTACAGACATACGGACAGTAGTTTGAGTTTTGACAGTCAGGTTTACGAGTTTGGTTGATGTATAATGTTATCATTAAGTGTTGTTCTTTTACAGACGTACAGACAGTAGTTTGAGATTTGACAGTCACGTTGACAAGTTTGGTTGATGTATAATGTAATCATGAAGTTTTGTTCTATTACAGACGTACAGACAGTAGTTTGAGTTTTGACAGTCAGGTTGAAGTTTGATTGATTTATAATGTTATCGTTAAGTGTTGTTCTTTTACAGACGTACAGACAATAGTTTGAGTTTTGACAGTCAGGTTGATGTATAATGTTATTTGTTTTTTTTACAGATGTACAGACAGTAGTTTGAGTTTTGACAGTCAGGTTGATGTATAATGTTATTTGTTTTTTTCACAGACGTACAGACAGTAGTTTGAGTTTTGACAGTCAGGCTGATGAGCGCAGTAGTGACCTGAGCAGTGAGGAGGAGTCTGAGGGACAGGAAGCCAGGGTCTACTCCCACAAGTCTAAACAGGCCGCCTCCAAACAGGTCTGACATAATAACCTCTGTTAGAGTACCTACACAGAGTAATCTAGACTACTTCTTTAAAAAAGCACAACAAAAGTATATATATATATAACACTCATAGAATTGCATGATAAGTATTTTTTTCTCTTAAAACTTCTGTATGAATATTTTTTTTTTCTAAAATCAACAAATGTCAACAATCAGAGCAAGAATTCCGTACTTCAGAATCCACAGTAATGTGAAAGTTATTGATCTTTATGTGAAAACTTTTTGTAGTTCAAATACAAACTGCATTTTCAAATTTTTACTCAAATGTTTTTACAGCCTACAGCAAGTGTGAAATCCCGAGTAAAGAGAAATGCCAGTGGAGATATGAAAAAGAATGGGGACACTCAGCTGGCGGTAGCTAAACCACAACCAGTCCGAAAAGGAGCTCGTGTCAGACGAACAACGATCCCACCCAAGCCAAACTACAGCCTGAATCTGTGGAGTATTATGAAAAACTGTATAGGAAAAGATCTCTCCAAAATCCCTATGCCTGTAAGTAATCCCTAGGCCTGTTGTATATGTTAAAATATCAAATAATTGTTTGTAACTCTGACATCATAGCCTGTATTATGAAAGATTGAATTTCAAGTGTTTCAATTTTGATCTCTCTTGGTATTTATAGAGGCAAGAGAATACTAGCTATTCACCATCTTTCAGTGTTGTGTTATAAAATGTTTTCATTGGTTTCTTGTGTTGTCAAAGGGATGTAATCATATCTCAAATAACTTTTTATGTGTTTGCATTTGAATATGTAACTCTGAACTTTTGTACTAAGAAAGAGATTTCATCATTATCTGATAAAAATGATCTTGGAAAATGAAAATAAACTAGGCATATGTCTTTCTTTTAAACTAAGCAAATGTCTTTCTTTTAAACAGGTAAATTTTAGTGAGCCGTTGTCCATGTTGCAGCGTTTGACCGAGGACTTTGAGTACGCGGACTGTTTAGATCGAGCAGCAGCCTGTGAGGATTCTGCGGAACAGTTGGTCCACGTCGCAGCCTTTACGATTTCCTCTTACTCCACAACCACCCATCGTAACACAAAACCATTTAATCCACTTCTAGGAGAAACATACGAGTGCGACCGTACTGATGATCTGGGCTGGAAGTCATTTGCTGAACAGGTACAATGGGCATCTTAGTTAATAGGCATAAAAAGAATTAGACTTTTACAATAGGTTACTTTAAACCAAAAATAATGTAGGATTGAATGAAAAAAAATTATCTGATGCTGCAAAAGATTTTGATGGAAAAAATATGTACGGAAACTGTTTTCAAAGATTTGGAAAAGTTCACAGCTAGTCCAGTCATTTATAGCTTTCATGCAAGTAATTTTGCCTAATGGAGATGACTCTTTATTTTAAGTTATTTTTTAAATGCTTACAGGGTGATATTAAAAGGAGATACTGTCTTATACAGTGTTTGTTGTATGTTTCTAGTACATTTTGAAGAAGAATCAGTCATACAGTGTATTTCTAAAATTGCTGATTATACAGAGATTGAAAAATTATTAGCTGCAATAATGTAGCCCTCTCCCTTTTTAGCTCACCTCAACGAAGTTGGGGGGAGCTTATGTGATACCCTCGGCGTCGGCGTCGGCGTCGGCGTCCCGGGTTAAGGTTAAGTTTTTTGGAGCAGATTTCTTTTTAAGAACTTCTATGTCCTATTCTGATTAGACATGCATGGAAAATGGTTTTAGTGTGTTTTATTGTACCAGACAAAGTTTCAGATGCTGCAGTTTCAGCAAAGGAATTACCAGGTTAATGTTTTTGGAGCAGGTTAACATTTTTGGTGCAGTTTTTGGTGTGGGTTTCATTTCCAAGTAACTATAAGCCCTATGTTGACCAAACTTGCATGGATGATACATCTAAGGATGCATACTACCGGGATTGCTTCGGATGCTGAATCTGACCTACATTTTCCAGTTGAGTGAACAGGTTAAAGTTTTTGGTGTAGGTTTCATTTCCAAGTAACTATAAGCCCTATGTTGACCAAACTTGCATGGATGATACATCTAAGGATGCATACTACCGGGCTTGCTTCGGATGCTGAATCTGACCTACATTTTCCAGTTGAGTGAACAGGTTAAAGTTTTTGGTGCAGGTTTCATTTCAAAGTAACTATAAGCCCTATGTTGACCAAACTTGCATGGATGATACATCTAAGGATGCATACTACCGGGCTTGCTTCGGATGCTGAATCTGACCTACATTTTCCAGTTGAGCGAACAGGTTAATGTTTTTGGTGCAGGTTTCATTTGCAAGTAACTTTAAGCCCTATGTTGACCAAACTTGCATGGATGATACGTCTAAGGATGCACACTACCAGGCTTGCTTCGGATGCTGAATCTGACCTACATTTTCCGGTTGAGTGAATAGTTAAAAGTTTTTGGTGCAGGTTTCATTTCCAAGGAACTATGAGTTCTTTAATGACCAGTCTTGCATAGATGATACATCTAAGAATGCATACTTCCAGGCTTGCTTCGGAAGCTGAATCTGACCTACTTTTTGTGGATGAGTGAAAATGTTAGTTTTAATGCATGTTTCATTTCCAATAAACTATGAGCCCTATAATGAGCAAACTTGCATGGATGATACATCTAAAGATGCACACTAATGGACTTGCTTCAGATGCTGAATTGGACATACATTTTTCAGATAATAGACAAGGTAAAAGTTATGGTTGCAGGTCTATTACCAAAAACTATAAGGCTTATATAACATTGTATAAACCAAACTTTCACAAATGCTGCATCAAGAGATGAAAACTCTCAAATTTGCTTCAGATGCTGGATTTTCATTACATTTTCATGAAGAAGAAGTAGTTTAAATTTTTTATGTAGGTCTCTTTCAAAGTATCAGATCAAAATTGCTTTTAAAAATATTTTCATTTTTGGAATGTATACTTTTTGTTGGTTAATTGTGTGACTTTGCCTTACTTAAAGACAACATTCGTTGAGGTGAGCTCTGTAATCTCTGATTACCTATGTTTTCATTTTTCCTCCATCACCGCTGTAGTGTAAAATGTTTAAATTGAAACCGATTAATTAATTTGTTAATAGCTGAAATATATAATTATATATGTGCATGAAGTACTTCAAAAGTCATTTAAAATGAATAAATTTTTAGCAGCCAATCAAGAATAAAAGCTAACAGGCTCCGCCCACTTCATTTGCATACCGTTTCTCAAAGCGTACCGTTCACAAAACGAACCGTTCCGTGCAAGAAACGAAACGTACCGTCCACAAAGCGTACCGTTCCGTGCACAAAGCGAACCGTTCCGTGCACAAAGCGTACCGTTCCGTGCACAAAGCGAACCGTTCCGTGCACAAAGCGTACCGTACCGTTCTCAAAACGAACCGTTCCGTTCACAAAGCGTACCGTTCCGTGCACAAAGCGTACCGAACCGTACCGTTCAAGTGGTGTAGTAGCACGGTTTAGGGTCTGTACCAGCCTTGCTTCGGATGCTGAATCTGACCTACATTTTCTGGACGAGTAAACAGGTTAAAGTTTATGGTGCAGGATTCATTTCCAAGTAACTTTGAGCCCTATAATGACCAAACTTGCATGGATGGTACATCTAAGGGTGCATTCCACTAGGCTGGCTTCGGATGCTGAATCTGACCTACATTTTCTGGATTAGTGGAAAGGTTAATTTTTTTTATACAGGTTTCATTTGCAAGTAACTTTAAGCCCTATGTTGACCAAACTTGCATGGATGATACATCTTAGGATGCACACTAATGGACTTGCTTCAGATGCTGAATTCGACATACATTTTCCAGATAATAGACCTCGTAAAAGTTATGGGTGCAAGTCTATCACCAAGAAACTAAGGCTTATATAAACCAGTTGCACAAATGATGCATCAAGGGATGAAAACTCTCAATCTTTCTTCAGATGCTGGATTTTAATTACATTTTCATGATGAAGAACTGGTTTTTAGTTTTTATATAGGTCTATTCCAAAGTATCAAAATTGCATAAATTTTGCATTTTTGGATGTTTACTTTTTGTTGGTTAATTGTGTGACTTAATTTGCCTTACTTAAAGACAACACACGTTGAGGTGAGCTCTGTAATCTCTGATTACCTATGTTTTAAAAATTTTTTTCTCCAGAAAACATCAGATAAAAAAAAGCGGAGAGGGCTACATTATTGCAGCTAAAAAATTATGAGTTCATTTGCATGTGTTAAATATATATGTATCATATTTTTTCCCTGTTATTTAGCAAGAAAAAAATAAGAGATTTTTACCATGTAGTCCAATTATAAATATTTTATATGAATATCTGAGAGAGACTCCTAACTGGACCTGAACCAGCATTGGAAGAAGGTAAAATGAATTTGATTGGTTGTTTGTAATACTAGGTTAGTCACCATCCGCCCACCGCTTCCCAATACACAGAGGGCAATGGATGGTCATTGTGGCAGGAATTCACAATGGGGAGCAAATTTCGAGGAAAATATCTCCAAATTATTCCTCTTGGTAAGAAAGCTCAAACTCACAGAGTGGTGATTACTAGTAACCTGTAGCTCCTACGGTGATGGTCCTGCTGTATAGACTCGGAGATAAGATGCAATTTCAGTTAGGAATTTATTACAAAAATGATTTTGTGGCAAATAATGAAGCACTTTTATACTATGTAATTTCTTTTTAATCAACAAGGTTAACAGCCATATGAAATTGCATCTTGTCTGCTATCCTTTTTTCCTGACACACTCTCAGTTGTCAAACAAGAGAGCAAAGCACAGCAGAATTAATTTACACTTTTCCTTATTTCACATGCTTTCATAAAGAATTCGTACAACTTTTATTTCCTATATACTTTGAAGCTTTGCTTACTTTCTTGCTTGATACAGACTAGTTTCCATGGGTCTCTTCTTTTGGTTGATTTTTTTGCCTGACTTTAAGGTGGGCCATCACCCGCCTCTGGCCGCGGTGCACAGAGAGGGACGAGAATGGATACTCTACCAGGAGATGGCTATAGCTAGTAAATTCAAGGGCAGTTACTTTCAAATCACACCTCAGGGTAATACGTTCGAATTCTTTAGGTAGCCATCTGTGTGTCATGGGAATGGCTTTTGGTAAAGTTATGCATTCTTATCCCTACTTGTGTACATAGCCTTAATCTGTCTTGCTTGCTCTTTTATAATTCTCTTGTCACCATTAGTGTCCAGAAATGTATGTTGTAGTCCTCATATTTGTCATATTCAGTAGTGAGGCAAGCTTTACTTTCTTCCCATTGCAACAAAGTTATGAGGAGATATTTGCATATAGTGTTTGGTCTGTGTTTTGTCCGTTTATATGTTCGTGCATATATAGTAGACACACTTTTAATGTTAACAATTTGAAATTAAGGCTTAAACTTCCTTTAAGATTGTTTTTTGGTGGGGGAAACTTCTTGTAAATGGGTCGTAAGGTCAAAGTCAAAACAGTGATAAGTTGTTTCAGTATAAAACACACCAGGGACCACATAACTATTATGGACACAAAAGACACATAGATATACATACCAGCCAATGCTTTATCATAAAACAATCTATTAAAGGCCAATGTGGCAGTTAAACACAAGCCCCAACAAGCTTTTGACAGACACTAGTATCATATACATATTAGAAGTAGAACAGTAAAACAATAAAACATGCAGCACTATAGACATAGATTTCCATCACAATAGTACAGCATACAGTCACATTAATAAAAGACAGGTCAGATAAAGACACAGAAAACAGAAAGTAGCCTTGCGTTGAGAGGGGATGAAATATTGAGAGGATTTTATATCTTGTTCAAGCTTTTGTTGTTGTTTATTTTCTGTTTCACAATTTCACTGAAGATTTTCCTTGTCTTTTAAATAATTTATTGTCTTGGAAACTTGAACATGTGCAAGGCATGATTGTAAAGGGGTGCATGTTTAGATAGACTCTACACAATTTTTGTAACTAACCATTAAAGCCATGGAACCTGCATTAAGTTATAGCCAAAAGTGTAAGCCAAGCTTCTTATTACTTAAGTCAATTTCCCCCTGTAATTATCATTTTTTCATAAAAAGGTAGTGATAAAAAGATGAATTAATAGTATTATAGTGTGTTGCTCAAAATCTTGAGTGAAAATTGAGTTATCTTTCTTAGCAGAGAGTATTTCTTGCTTGGATAAAGGATATGCAGATAAAATTAGTCAAGGGGTACTTTATGAAATATACTCTGAAAATTCATAGTCCTTATTACTTACCATTGTAAATTGAAATATTAGTACAAGGTAACTATTGTTAACTTCTGAATGATAAAAATTTATCAATCCATCTGTTTTGAGGCAGACTGAAAAAAAATTGAAGAAAAGCCAGCAGGTTTGCCCGGGGCATGGCCACTTATTGTTAAACTGATCATTCCTTGATATTTCTGTGTAGGTATAGCCCACCTTGTGTTTAAGAAGTCAGGCAATCATTACACCTGGAGGAAAGTCACCACAACTGTCCACAACATTATTGTGGGCAAGTTATGGGTGGATAACCATGGTGAAATGGATATAACCAATCACAAGACACAGGATAAATGTCATCTCAAGTACTCGGCTTATAGTTACTTCTCCAGGGAAATCCCGAGAAAGGTGAGAGATATAGAGACTTTGAAATCAATGTCCTTGTTTTGTTTTCAATGAAATTTTCAGATTGATCTGACATGGAAAATTTTGCTCAGAAAGACGAGATAAAATCTGAAAATGATGAGATGTTTCAAATGTGTCAGACTTAAAATATGACAGATATACAAGTATATATATACCTATTTATTACAGGTTACTGGGGTGGTCACCGATCAAGATGGCGCTGCTAAGTGGGTCCTAACGGGAACCTGGGACAAAAGAATGGAAGCCGCCAAGGTGGTGCACATTGATGAATCTAACAAAGGAAAGCCCGTGTTTGAGACAGGCCCACATATCTGTATCTGGGAGAAAAGACCACTGCCGTAAGTTTATAGTCTTTTGTAAAATATTAATTTATTTGTAGGTCTCATTTAACTTATGTATGCAGGCAAATCCTAAGTGTTGATAATAATTTTTTATGGCAATTGCATTTATTTTGCTGAAAGAGGGAGAAAAGAACAAAATTGATTCTGTGGCAAATTTTTTTAAAAAATTGAAGAACCAATTCTGATTTTGAAATACATGTAGTGTCAAAGAAATATACTTCTCAATTTTTTATTCATTTTTTCCCTATAGTCCAGGAGCAGAGAAGATGTATAACTTCACAACACTAGCTGTGACCCTTAATGAGCCAGAGGATGGCGTTGCACCGACAGACTCTAGGCTGAGACCGGACCAGCGGGCGATGGAGGAGGGAAATTGGGACGAAGCCAATAAATTCAAACTACAGCTGGAGGAAAAACAGAGGGCTGCCAGGAAAAAACGGGAAGCGGAGGCAGAGGAGGCTGCTAAAAGGGGTAAGTACGAAGACTGGGGATCAGTAGCGACAAAAATTCTGTATCACCTTATATAAATGATTAAGATTCTGACTTTAAGATACAAACTTTTTATGAAATAAATTATTTTATTTATTATATATACATTTTGCTGATTTCAGGAGAAACAGTTAAAGGTTACCAGGCTGTCTGGTTTGAAATGAAACAAGACCCTATCACGGGAAGTCCTATACACATGTACAATGGACGTTACTGGGACTGTAAAGAGAAAGGGGACTGGTCAGTCTGTCCTAACATATTCTTATAGCTGATGTAGTCACTTAGGAATTATTTTATTACCAAAGTAATCTGATCATGACTGACTTCTATCAAATAGAGATGCAGGTTTAAATTGTGATATGAAAATTAAAAAAATAAATCCATCGTTTTTTAATATATTAAGTAATTGATTATAATCCATGTCTTCAGTTGTTTTTGTGTAGTAGAGCAATGTACTGTGAGTGTGTGTGAGAGAGAGAGGAAGAGAGAGAGAGCCCACTTTATAAGTTGCTGAAGAGACTTTAGGTCACCCAAAGCAATAACAGCAAGTTTATGATAATCCCCATTGAAGCATTCATCCACAGGTTCACGGTTTATTTTTATTTATCTTTTACAATTGATTCAGTTCATTCAGTTTGGTGCCATATTATACCTGTATTTTTTACTCCCTGTACAGTCAATTTCTTCTGTTCCCGGCCTCATGTTTTTTGTACTGGCTGTACAGTAGATTCTGTCTATCCATGGCCCTTTTTATATTGTACTTTACAGTAGATCCCAACTTTTACTGGTCAAAGAACTCTGAATTTTTATTGTTACCCAACATTCCTTTCTTGCCTTTGTTTTATTTATTCCAGTCTTTTTTTTAAAATATGATTTAAAAGCTGACCATTTTTATGACATGAAGCAGAAGATGATGACATGGTAGTGTGAATTTATAGAGGTGTTGTGATGTTCATGTGGCTTTTGCTCAGTATGCATTGATGCATTACCTAGTGTAGCAAATGTTCATTTTTATGCAATGAATATATCAAAGGTTGACTTTTTATTCCCATCATTTAACATAAAGCCTTTGTAAATCGTTGATTTTGTGTAAATTCAGACAAGAATTAGTGTAGAGAGTAGGAACGATATGTGAACACATGCACTGCGTATTGTTGATTATGTGTAATCTATGTCAATAAGATATAATTTGGGATTGCAATATTGTGATTGAATTATATCGTGTATTATTAGTTACATAGTCTTTTAGTGACAGGGTATGGGATGATACCTGGTTAGTAAATTTCATACCTGGCGAGGCGGAGCCGAGTCAGGTATGAAATTTACTAACCAGGTATCATCCCATACCCTGTCACTAAATGACTATGTAACGAATTTACCCCACCGATGAAACATTTGCGTTTTATCTGTAGTTTATAAATGGTTTTCTCTGCTAAATGCTTCATTGCGCTTATACTGTGCCTATTATGACGTCACGTTTGCGTTTGTGACGTAATACATCGACGGGTATAGATTTTACTGACCGGGTATGGATTTACAACTGACCGGATATAAGTAATCCACCGCCTTCACGTGACAGACTTCAACCAATCGTAAGCCAGGATTTCACGGAAAAATCAACAGAGGTGGGGTAAATATATATATAGGAACAAGTCACATTGACTGCTTATTTTATTTTAATGTGTGAAGTAAGGGTCCTCTAGACTGTACAGGTTTTCTAAATGCATGTATTTTGTCTGATATTGCTGATGTGTTTTTGAATGTATGCGAAAAACATTTTTTTCACATTAATTTATGTATAAACTCGTGCCAGTGAAACATGGGGGTGACATAGAATGTTCACATTGTAAACTCTTCAATATATTAGTATAATGTTGTTTGTTTTGTTGCTAATATATTTAAGAGTAGTCTACAGTGGAGGTTATCTCAGTATATCATACAGCACATTATTACAAGGATCTTTATGAGAACTGTACACTACTATTGTAATCTTTCAAATGAATTTAGTCACTTTTAAGATGGGCATTCTTGTTTACATTATCTTTATGTGTATTCAGACTTACCGGTATTATCCCTACAATCATATCTCAGGATTTGGTACATTTTGAATTGTGTGGCCACTGGATTCTGTGGAAATTACTGATATTGAGACCATTTTTAAAATAGTGTTTGCTTGCCCTCTCCCAACTCTGGTTAAAATTATTGAGTCTGTAGGTAGGTGGGAATTTTTTTTTAAAAGAAAATTTCAACATATTTGTTGACGGGGTACGAGGAATAAAAAGGAAAAAAAATGTCCCAAAATGTCAAAAAATCTTTTGAGTCTGGCCATTTTTAGTCAGAGGGCAACCAAACAATCATTTAAAGTTGGCCCTAGCAAATTTTTTATGGAGGTTTTGGAGGCCCACTATTTCAGCAGGAGATTCAGTTGATCTAACATAATCAAAATAACATTTCCTGGTTATTTATTGAAACACTTTACAATATGTAAGTATAACCATTGCAGTAATTTTATTGAATAGCATGCATTATGTGTAAAAAGATTTTTTCATACATGCAGATAAAATGCAGTTAATCAGATTTTTATTTCATTGGTTGAGATTGGTTGAGAAATGGACACTGTATTACGTTCCTGGAAATCATGTGTAAACTTCAGAGTTACAAGGACCATGTTTGATAAATTGTAAATGTACATAACATGCTAATCAGTTTTTTAAATGTCAGATGCAAACTTATTTACTTTTCCAAGTAATATTCAAGGTAAAATTTCCAAAGCTATGTTATTGTTGGAAGTGCCCCACATATAGCTGTGAATTTTTTAAAAAAAATTTGCTTTTTTACTAGTCACAAGCTTGATGAATGTTGTATATTATGAATTGTGGTGGATCTATACACAAGCTTGAGTGATTGTTGTAGAATGTAAACTCTAGTAAATTTATTTCACAAGCTTGAGTGAATGCTGTAATATGTGAAATGTGGTGGATCTATTCACAAGCTTGAGTGATTGTTGTAGAATGTAAACTCTTGGTGAATATATTTCACAAGCTTGAGTGAATGTTGCTCTTCTTGATAAGCTATATTGGTCATATTGGACCTTTTTGACATGTTAAAATAAAATTAAAATTGAACACTCGGACATTGTTTTGCTTATTGCTAGAGGCAGATGATACAGTGACAAGACCTGTGTTTTGACTTGCCCTGTAAATACATGTACATGTATATCTATCCAGATGTATCAAAAGTGATTGTGGAGTTTATTAAAGCTGAACACAATTCGTAAAAGGATTTTGTCCACCATATCCGACTGGTCTCTTGCTATATTTGAGGGTCACTGATGTAGATGGACATATGCTGTGCTCTTGATAGCGACAAAAAAAAACTACTAATGCAGTCAGTGCAGTATACAAACACAAATACATGTACGCAATGTAAACAAAGGCAATGCAAGATCTAGCATGAACACGTGTCGCCATTTCATGCTTATACACACAATAAAGCACTCAGGTGTAACGAATGCGAAGAGTATACTCCGGTGCTGATAACATAGTAATATCGAAAATGGCATATGCCTATTTACGAGTCGTGTTCAGCATTAATATCCATAATCAGTACTTAATATTGTTGGCCGTTCCATTCAAGATTAATAAAGAAGTATGTGAATATATTTCACAAGCTTGAGTGAATGTTGCTCCTCTGGATAAGCTATATAGGTCATATTGGACATTTTTGACATGTTAAAACAAAGAACGAGGGCGCTTTTGATTGGCATTCGGCAGGAATCTGGGCGTTATTGAAAAGTGAATTTATCGACATGTCACATGAAATTTTAACATTTTTTAATTAATCGGTTTCCTGTGCAACAGGAAAGAAACATATTTTCCCGAAATTGGGCTTTTATTTGCTAAAAAATAACTTGAAAATTGGCCAGATCAGACATTTGGTACAAAATGGTACATTTTTAAACACGTTTTTCTAAAAATTTTCTATCTGTGGGTCTTCTCTCCATGATTTTGAAACATTATTTGTGTGTATTTTAATTCAAAGAAACGAATACACTTTTTTAAAAAATGGAGAGAAGACCCAGAGACCACGAAAACTGAACTTTTCCCAAAAAAATCCAAATGTGTGAATGTGGTGCTTCTTTGTCCTTTTAAAATCAGCTGTATATGTGTAGCGGTAATAGCACAGTAAGTTGGGCTAGCTGTCCAGTGCACTCGATGCGAAAAGTTTTTGGTTCGAGCCTAGCATCGGGCGTTAATTTTTGTTTCCATGCAAACAACCATTCATTTTGTCAGTTTCGTTTTATGTACAGATGCATTAAAATTTTGAATTAGATCAATTTTGGTTCAGTTTGTTTCTTGAGTGAAATCAATTCTAATCTTCTATTCTATAATGTACATGAACACGTATTATGCATCTATGCATTAAATATTTTGGGTGTTTATTTTTTGTGAAACATTACTATGCTACAGTACCCCCTAGGAAAAACGGACACTAATGTTACAATTTCACAATGTCTTTCAAACTAAATGAAAAAAAAAACACCTATGGACGTGTTTGTAAAATCTGACCAGCTATGTTCAGCCAACCAATCATGGACATTTAAACCATAAATGTTTCGTACAAATGATTCCTGCAGATCACCCGCCAAATGCGTCCATCTTCTTTAAAATAGAACACTCTTTGAAAAATTAAGAATCTACACTTCCTCATATGAAGTGGACCGTAGCAAAGGTTTCAAAAGTTGGGGGGAGGGGGAGGGGTCAAGTACTAATCAACTGGAATTTCCAGTGTTCAACCTTACAGCAACAAAAAATGGGGGAGCCAACCAGCATCTATAGCCAAACTTGAGGAAAATTTAAAACCAAATTACCATTTTCAGAAAAAGGGGGTGGGATGTGTTAGAGGTTTCCACACAAGTTTAACCTTTTCCAACCCAAAGGTTTTCACGGAGAATTTTTATAATGACCCTATCCTAATTTACTTTTTCTTGATTATCCCCCCTTAGAAGGGGTTAGGTCTTTTATTTGAAGTTTAGAACCACTATGTCCAAAAATGTTTTGCAGCATGCTTTTATCCTCTTACAAACTATAGCGAAGACTGCCAAAAACTGTTTTGATTCTTTGGATTTTATCAACAAGAATTTGACGGTGTTAATTATGTAATATTTACATTTCTATTTGTTTTCTCTGTGATAACTCTGAAAGTTTTAAAGTGAGCTGATTTCTTGATAATTCTACCGGAATGTAAATTTCGCCAAGAGAAAGGCTTCATCCGTTATGCAAATTATTCCACGTGTCAACTACCGTTATGCCCTAGCATACTCGACAAACTAGACGGTGATTCCTTTAATAACCAAAATTATCGAAATCATAATTTGGCCATGAAATGCACGTTTATTTGTTGTTGTTTTTTTCGTTCGAAATACGAAAAGTCAAAAAAATATATTTCATCTTAACAGTTAACAATGTTCTAATAGATGTCCTATAATAACCGTAATAAATGCTGAACAGGGCGGTTTTGAGTGTTGTAGTTCTTGATTACAATATTCTGAATCATTTTAATTTATTTATAAATGATTTCTCTTTTCCTCTTAGAAATAAGGTTTGATTTGGCAATTTTCAGATCAGAATAACATTTGTTAACGATTTTTTCTCATTCGATTTATACTTAGTTAATCTGACGATACAGCTTCGATACTAATATGCAGGATATCTGTGGAATGATTATGTATACTCAAAGAATTGTTCACAGAGATCTTAAATCATTATATTTCAATCACATCTGATGTTTCAAACAGAATATAGGAGAAAAAAGGTAAAGAATCAAACAGTGAATTTCTTGATTTCTCAGAAAGTCTGCCGAAAAAGACGATCAACAATTGATGATTTTCCTTGATATAATTCTGTTTGAGAAAAACATATGGTTCTGAAGTAAGAGAATAAAGAAACAGACCGGGAACACAAACGTCACAGTTATGCATCTGCCACCCAAACAGCCAAGATACGCCGTATCTAAGTCAAATCTAACGGAACTGAACGAGTAGCCATTTGTAACCTACACCCTTAAATGACCAGGGCGCATGCGTATTGTAATGGGATTCTTTGCAAAGTAATAACCCTGGAAGATATTATTGATGCAAGAATACGTTTGAGGATGTTTGACATTTTTCACCTGATTTGTGAAGGATCCAGTTTCCATTCGACAGAAGCTAGAGGCGTAAA